TTTTTTTGTCTTTTTGAGACAGGGTCTCCCTGTCCTGGAACTCACTATGTAGACCAGGCTGGCCTTGAACTCACAGATATCCTCCTGCCTCTGCCTCCCGAGTGCTTGGGATTAAAGGCGTGGGCTACCACGCCCGGCAAACTTTCTTATTATGTATGTGTATGATGTGTGTGTGTGCAAACATGCCTGCGCACATGTGGAGGTCGGAAGACAATTTTATGTAGTCGGTTCTCCACTTTCACAATGGGCTCCAGGACTGGAACTCAGGTCATCAGACTTGTGCAGCAGCCATCTATTTCATTTTTGGTGGTTTGTTTTTGGTTGGTTGGTTTTTAGGACAGGATTTCAGGTATCCCGGGCTGGCCTTGACTTTGAACTGCTTTCACCTCCCTCATGCTGGGATTACATACCCAGTTTATGCATTGTTGAAGACGGAGCCTAGGGTGTTGTGCATGCTAGATAAGCCCTCTGCTATCTGAGGCACTACCAACTCCAATCTCCATTTGTGTACATTGTTTTGTTTTGTTTTGTTTTGATATGGGCTCAGGCTGACTTTGAACTCGAGAGCCAAGTCCTGGGATTAAAAGTATAGGCCGTCACATCCAGCAGAGACCCCCCCTCTTTTGCCAACCCTCTTTCCCTTTTCTTTGTGCCAATTCTTTTAAATTAGCCAATTGGGAAACACTGTGAGGTTGGATCTCAGCCAATAGGGAAAAGACACAGTATTCTTGCATTAGGAATAAAAACCTATTAGACTCCCAGGTTGGGTGTGCTTGTTTGATTCAAATGACAATGTAATACACCATTTTGCAACAGTAAAAGCTGCCTTGCTAAGTTACTTTCACTTTGTCCATGTGTTCTTTGTGTGGTATCAGTGGGGTTCTCAGACCTCAAATTTTATTTCTAACATCTTTGAACCTTTGACCATAAACTTAAAATGAACACCTCACATGGTTTTCTTCAGAAGAACTTTCCCACTTTCCAAAATGGCCATTTCATAACTTCTCACACTCCTGTAGTTAAGTTCTCATTGGAGACCAAAAATATTCAATTACCAAATTTTAGGTCTGCTCACATACATCCCTGACCTTCCACTTTTCCTCTGGAAAGTTTTTGGGGTTGTCCTTGCTCCTTTTGAAGGTTGGTTGCTTCTGGAGGACTGGCCCCAATATATTCACCTCTGTTGAACAATTTGCAAGAGCATTCAGCCACTCTTTTTTTTAAGTTTAAGAGAAATTTTATTGATTCAAGAATTTTATACAATGAATTTTGTTATATGCAGACTTCCTCCCCATCTCTACCCTCACCCTTCCACCTCCTAGCCCCCACTCCTGACTTCATGTCTTCTATTAGCAAATGAAAAAAAGTCATCTTATATAATCCATCTGAGCTGGATGGATTCTTTAGCATTCTTCACTATAAAATCAAAAGGCTTCCTTTAACTCTACTCTCTGCTTCCTACCCCCACTCTGATTCTTCTGTTGACTGTGTGTCCTGGAAAGACTTGCCTACACTTCAATATCATCTTGTTTTTATCTTTCATTCTCTCCTCATTCATCAATTCTCCAGAAATGTTTCAGTAACTTGTGGAACGCAGTGCATTCTTCTGTTGTCATCTTTTTTTTCCCATGTGAGGAACATTTAGCACCTTGTCTTTGTTTATGGGAGTTGTGATGATTAATTTTAATTGACAGTTTGATAGGTTTAAGAAATTCATTGTAGGGCATTAGTGAGGCATGCTGGGAATTTCTGTGAGGATGTTTCCTAAGAAGATTAAGGAGAGAAAACCTGCCATGGGCTGGGGTCCGTAACTGAATAAAGGAGAAATTCAGATGAGCATAACATATCCTTTTCTATGCTTCCTAATCCATGGAAATACAAACAAGCAGCCTCATGTTCCTTCCACAACTACAAGCAGTTCCTACCACTATGCCTCTCTACTGTACTCTCAAGCTGTGAGAGAGTATAGAATAAATCCATCCTCCTTTAAGTTGCTTCTTGTTAGGTATTTATTTGGTCATAGTGACAAGAAAATTGATACAGGAACACAGGATACATAGCCTCCAGGAATTGACCCTGTTTTTTGTCTGCATGTAACAGAACGGATGTCAGAGTTTGAGCTGAGGTCAATGAGTATCCATATCATAAAGTCTAGGAAGGTGCCACACACATCTAGTGAAGACTTCTGTGGGACAGGGATTATATGATCACCTTTGCATTTCACCTTCAATATGAGTGCTAAGGACTCAGCAGCCTGGATGAGGGTTTCCTTGGAAAAAGATTCAGACTTATGTGTTCATTAATTTTCTCATCACCATGACAAAATACTCAATATAAAGCTGGGCACAGTAGTGTGCTCCTGTAATTCCGGCACTCAGGAGGCTGAAGCAGGAGACATCCTCAGTTCAAGGCTGGCCTAGGATACATTGTAAATTCAATGCCAGCCAGTTATACATAGCAAGACCTCATCTCAAGCCCACAAATGAAAACCTGACATCCAAGCACACACACACACACACACACACACACACACACACACACACACACACACACTGACAAACCTGACTCCACAATTTAAGAGATTAAAGATTTGTTTCATGGATTTAGATGGTTTGGTACATGGTTACTTTGCTCATGCAATTGTGCAAAAACATCGTGACAGTAGGAGCATATAATAGAGAAGGTACTTTACTTTGAGGTAGATAGAAAGCAGAGAGGAAATGACTAGGGACCAGGTATAAACCTTGAAAACACACCCCCTATCCATGACCAAGTTCCTCCAACTAAGCCCACCTCCTAACATTTCTAAAACCTTCCAAAATAGCACCATTACCTAGGGATGAAACATTCAACACATGAGCATATAAGGGACCTTTCATATTCAAACCATAACATTCCATCCCTGACTCCCAAAGGTTCATCGCTATCTTGTAATGCAAAATGCATTTAGTCTATCCCCAAAGTCAACAGCTGAAACATTTTTCAAATGCATTTTTCAAGTTCAAAGTCTTCATCCAAGACTCAGGCATACTATAAACTGTGAACATCTATAAAATAGAATCTTATATATCTACAAGATAAAATGGAACAGAATAAAATATTCCCCCCCCAAAGAAAGAGAAGAATGAGGGCATAAAAAGGAAGAATGGGGGGGCTGGAGAGGTGGCTCAGTGGTTAGAAGCACTGGTTGTTCTTGCAGAGGTTCGATTCCCAGAACCTACATGGCTGCTAATAATTGTCCATAACTCCGGTTCCAGGGGATCCAACGCCCTCTTCTGATCTCCGTGGGCATTGCATGACATAGGTGCACCTACCTACATGCAGGCAGTATACTCATACACATAAAATAATAAAAATAATAAATTTTAAAAAGGAAGAATAAAGGGCTAGAGGTTTAAGAGCACTGGCTGCTCTTGTAGAGGACCCAGGTTCTAATCCCAGCACCCACATGGTGGCTAACAACCGTCCTTAACTCCAGTTCCAGGGGATCTGATGCCTTTGTCTGTCCTTTGAGGACATTACATGACACAGGTGCACTTACATGCAGGTAATATACGCATACACATAAAAATGAATAAGAATAAGCCGGGTGTAGTGGCGCATGTCTGTAGTCCCAGCACTTGGGAGGCACAGGCAGACAGATCTCTGTGAGTTCAAGGCCAGCCTGGTCTACATAGTGAGTTCCAGGACAGCTGGGGCTACAGGGAGACCCTGCTTAAAAAAAAAAAAAAAAAAAAAAAAAAAAAGAATAATACAAAATAAATAAATAAGGAATAATGAAACCAAAGAAAGACCAAAATCCTGCAAGATACACATTAAGTCCTTTAGCTACATTTGTGATATACGGTGCAAATGGTGGTGGTTATAGTTTGCTTTCTGTTGCTGTGATAAAACACTGACCAAGACCAACTTGGAGAAGAGAGAGTGTTTCCTTTTACAAGTAACAGTCCACGTTTGAGAGAAGTCAGGGCAGGAAGCTAGAGGCTGGAACTGAAGCAGAAACCATGGAGGAATATTGTTTGCTGGCCTACTTCCTCTGGTCTTCTCAGCTACCTTTCTTATACAGCCCAGGACCACCTGGCCAGGGATGGCACCACCCACAGTGGGCTGGGCGCTCTTACATCAGCTGGCAATTAAGAAAATACCCCCACAGATGTAGCCACAGGCCAATCTGGTGGACACAATTCTTCATTTGAGGTTCCCTGTTTCTAGATGACTCTAGTTTGTGTCAAGTTGACAAAAACTAGCCTGCATAGTGGTATAACATAAGCGCCAATGGAGTTGGGGAGCACAGCTTCTTTGACCTTGCCATTTGTCACCTACATGGTCTCTTTCTTGGTCTAGTATCACTTGTTGCCTGTGACTTGCCTTAGAATGCATCTCACATTTCAGGTATCTTCAACATCTGGTGTCTCCACTGTAGTTTTGACTTCACTCTCACAGCTTCATACAGTATTTTCTTGGGGGTTGGCCACAGAGACTCTGACCCTGCCACATATGACTTGACCTTCTAG